GTAACTCTCTTAGGATTTTCTCCATGAAAAATCATGTTGTCTGACATAGAAATAGTTTCACTTCTATTATTTTTATAATAATATTAAATATACTATATTAAATATTATAAAAATATATAAATATAGAAAATAATATAAATATAAAATAGTCTTTTACTATTTCTTCTTACCTTGTTGCACTAGCTAGGATTTCAAGTACAATGATGAATAGGAGTGATAAACACAGGCATCCATGCCTTGTTCACGATTGTAGGTAGAAAACACTGAGTGTCATCTTAGCCTTGAGTTTTCACAGCTGCCCTTGGCCAGATTGACAAGTTTCCTTTTATTCTTAGTTTGCTGAGTACTGTTATCTTCAGTGGGTATTGAATTTTTTCAAATGCTTTTTCTATATTTATTGAAATGATCATACAATTTATCGACATTGTTCTCTTAATGTAGTAGATTACACTGATTCATGTTAAGCCAACCTTAAATTTCTGAGATAAACTCCACCCGCTCGTGATGTATTATCCTTTATACGATATTGTTGAAATTGACTTGGTAAAATCATAGTAAGGACTTTTTACATCTATGTTAACAAGATCTGTAGTTTACCTTTTTTTTGTAAAACAATTGTCTGGTTTGAATATCACAGTAATACTAGCCTGGAAAGTGTTACCTCCCGTAATGTTTTCAGAAAGAATTTGGGGTAGAATTGGTACTATTTCTTCCATAAATGTTTGAAAAAAAATTCACTAGAGAAGCCACCTGAACTTCTAGTTTTCTTTATGGGAAAGTTTTTAATTATAAATTTAATTTTCATAACTGATAGGGGGCTACCCAAATTCTCCACTTTTTCTTGGGTCAGTGTTGGTCATTTGTGTCTCTTGGTGAGCATGTCAATTTCATCTAAGTTGCTGCATTTAGTGGCATAAAGCTGTCTCTTATTATCGTTTTCAAATGTCTGAAGGATAATGAAAAACCCTCCTCTAATCTAGATGTTGGTAATTTGTGTTGATTGTCTGAGCTACAAGTTTATCAGTTTTATTTGAAAAGACTAGTATTTTGCATTCAGGGATTTTCTCTGTCCATTTCCTAGTTCACTGATTGCTGCTCTTCACAATTTTTCTCCTTCTCTATATATTGGGTTTATGTTGCTCTTCTTTTCCTAGCTTCCTGAGATGAGAATTTAGATCATTAATTTTAGGTCTTTTTACTTTTCCAATGTGAACATTTAGAGTTGTAAACTGGCCTCCAAGCACTACTTTCCCTGAATCCCACAACGTTTGACGTGTTGCATTTTCATCAACGTTCAGGGCAAAATGCTTTCTCACTCCCCTTGTGATTTCTTCTTTGATTCATGAATCGTTTTAGAAGTATGTTGCTTCGTTTCAAATATTTGAGGACTTCCTAGTTATCTTATTCTCAATTGATCTCTGGCTTCATTCCATTTTTTAAATCAGAGAACATATCCTGTATGATTTCGATTTTTTAAAATGTACTGGGATTTGTTTTATGGTCCAGCACTTAATATATCCTATTGAACATTCCATGGACACTTGGAAAGAACATGTATTATAGGTGTAGTGTCCTATAAATATCAGTTAGGCCAGAGTGGTTAATGGTGGTGTTGAGATTATCTCCATCTTTGCTGATATTTTATGTAGTTGCTCTATCAATTACTTGAGAAGCTTGTTAAAATCTCCATCTATGGAACACAGACATTTATGATTTTTAATACCTTCCTGATGAATTGGCCTTTTGAAAAAAATCACTGTACAGTGTAATAATCTTATCAACATAGGTGTTATTTTCCAAACATCTCGTAATGCTCCCTTCTAATTACTTTAAATTCTCCACAATTCCACTTGAGTTTGAACTTTGAACGCTGTAGACCTCTCCACGCCCTTCCCACTGGTATTGAGAGGCCACCATGTCCCCCCCACCCCCACCCCCGGCCCCAGCTCTCACACGGAAGAGCCTGGAACGCTCTAACTCCATAGTAAAGGAAGAATGGTTTAATAACCTGTATGTCAATAAAATTTATATTAACCCTTCTTACGGCTGTTGGGTTTTGTGATATTCCAAGCGGGTAGAGATTATTTGGGGCAAGTTGCTAATTGTAGAATATGAAGTAGAGGGATCAATGCGGAGTGATTTTTAAATGATCTATTTCAAGAGAGACATCAGCTCTCCTATCGCTCCTCAGGAAGCGAGGGGCTGAGAGTATGTATCTACACTGAAATTTAAGTAAATGGCAACTAGAGAACTGAACACAGATTTTGATGTGGGTTTTTGTTTTTGAGAGAGAGAGAGAGGAAGGGAGGGAGGGAGGGACAAGCAGGGGGGAGGGGAAGAGTGAGAGGGAGAACCCCATGCAGGCTCCACGCCTAGCATGCAGCCTAATGCAGGGCTCGATCTGAAGACCATGAGATCATGACCTGAGCCAAAGTCAAGAGGCAGATGCTTAACCAACTGAGCCACCCAGGTGCCCTTCGATGTGTAGAATTTTAGAGCATTGTCACATGATTGTATTTTTTTATATTATTGCATTTTAAAGCAAATGAAGCAGATATAGTTTCATTTCTGAAACCATTACAGAGCATTTATCAATACAACATTCATCCTTATTCACCCACTATTTGGAGCTTTGTTTTTTTTTTTTTTTTTTTTTTTTTTTTTTTTTTAATGTATTTGATACCTACAAATATCTATGTGCTTTTTTTCCCCCCTCAGTTATTTGGGAAACTTCAAAAAGGGTAGTCACACCCAAAGCTTCTTAAGCATCTTGCTATAATTTAATCTGAACAAACTGTTGTGCACAAATACAGAAAAACATATGTAGGGCTCAGATAGCATATTGCTATAATTCTTAAGCTTCTTAAGCATCTTGCTGTAATTTAATCTGAACAAACTGTTGCGCACAAATACAGAAAAACACATGTAGGGCTTAGATCGCACAGCGATCCCTCTTGGTCCAACCGTTCGAAACGTGTAATTTTCAAAGGCTGTGTCAATGTACCTAAGCAAAGGACAAATACAAAAGAAAATGCTGGGGCCTGAGCATCTACTGTGATTAACTGTGAAACCCGCGGGGTCATTTCGGTAGAGAGCCACCTACAGAGCAAGCCAACCCAAATATACACTGAGTGCCCACCAGGGAACAGCTGATTCCTTGCAGCGATCAGAATGAATCCTCATAAAGACACTTGGCTATTGCTGCGTTCTTTACGCAGATGCGGGACCAGGCTTTGAAAGAGGACGCTGCTCAGCCAAGGCCACACAGCTGTAAGTGGTAGCTCTGGGGTTTGCAAGTAGACTTCCTGACACTATTCGTGGTGTCTGTTCCACTTTGCCGGAAAAACTTACAGATCAAGAGTTGGCAAACTTTCCCTGGAAAGGGCCCGACAGTAAATATTTTAAGCTTTGCAAACCATATGGTCTCTGTCGCGAGGACTGAACCTCCACTCTTGCAGTGAGAAAACAGCCACAGACGATATGTAAATAAATGAGTTTAGCTGTGTCCCGATAAAACTTTATTTACAATAAGAGGAGGTGGGCTGGATTTGGCCCAGGGGTTGGGATTGGCGGACCCCCGCTACAGATTGAAACGTACAAACAAACCATCAAGGAATCAGGCTCTAAAGGTTCCACTTTTCTATCTTTCCAGGGCCATTTTTCATTACCGCTGCGCTTACTCTACTGAATTGTACGCAATCATTACGATTTCACTGTAAATTCATCCTCCAGTCCCTCTCTGCTCCACAAAGCCAACTTTCCTCTCCCTAGCACAGATTCTCACTTTGTCGATAAACACTGTCAAGCAGCGATCAACACCTTATTTTTAAAAATGAGGACCCACTTGGGAAAAATAAGTTGTTTTTTTTTTTCCTCTGAGTAAAAATAGTTTCACCGGGTCCCCAAATGGAAAACCAGCGTAAAGATTTTGTGCTTTACTGAATATTTTTAAATGCTAATGAAAAACTGGTACTGCCTTTTAGTTACCAAGATGCTAAGAGGTGGGTATCAGAGTTACCCTCCTGATCTTCCGTCTCCACACACCCACAAAAGCAGTTCTGGAAAGGTTCTTCTCGTGGTGGGGGCCCAGGGAGCTTGGTTCCCCGCAGGCCCCCGCTTTGTTGGACTGAAAGCTGCATGCAGAATTTAGAGCAGATCCTTTGCTGGAAAACCAAACAGGGCAGGAAGCTCTCTGGTCTTGGGCCACTCACCACTGCTTTACGGGATAACTCTCTCCAGGGACTCATCTACACTGTTACAAATAACCATTTTTCAAATTCTTAGACTCTTTGGTCAATGTCAAGTTAGTTCTTATTATTGTGTTTACTACTTGCTGGGAAAGTTGGTTTTATTTCCCCCAAATAAATATAAATTTCTTCCAGTCTCTGTTTCCGCTTCTATCCCCTCTGAAGTGACATTATTCAGTATATTCCTTTCCAGTGCCAATATCCTCTCTGCACATAGTCAGTCAGTCCCCTGTGTCTGTCTGCTGGCCTTTCTTCAACTAAGTTTAAAGAGTATAAATAAGGGGCGCCTGGGGGGTTCAGTTGGTTAAGCATCTGACTTCGGCTCAGGTCATGATCTCCCAGTTTGTGGGTTTGAGCCTCGAGTCAGGCTCTGTGCTGACGGCTCGGAGCCTGGAGCCTGCTTCAGATTCTGCGTGTGTGTCTCTCTGCCCCTGCCCGCTTGTGCATGTGCACTCTCTCTCTCTCTCCGTCTCAAAAATAAATAAAGAAACATTAAAAAAAAAGTGTATAAACAATATAAAGTGGGCTCCTCACTTGAGCCATCATGTTACTCAGTCAAAGCCATTTGTTCCAGATCTGCTATTAATTTGTTCAGACCCTGTTGGCTGGCTGATCCGTAAAGCTGCCTGAATGTTTCCACCAAGCACCCTCATTAGTTTAGGACACACTTAGCTGCAGGGAAGGGTTTTTAGGCACCAGGAATGGACGAAGAAGGGAGCCCGCGGCACGCATCCTTGCCCCAGGTCTGCTTACCTCCGCGATCAGGTCATGGAGCTCTCCTTCGCTCGGGCAGCACCCTAGCGACCTGATAATTGTTCCGATCTCTCTGCGGAAAAAGTGGTCAACAGTTTTAGAACATAAACTTTGGAAAGCAAGCGCTGTGTTTCTCTAAACAAGGTCAGGGCAGATGTAGCACCGAGGTCACTCAATTAAGTCCTACCTCGTGAGGACAGCAGATACTTTTCCGGGGGAAGGAAAAGGCAGACAGGTGAACCAAAGGGAGAAGAAAGAAGTGTTTGCGTGGATTAGCCCGAGCCCAAATCAGAAAGTTCTAGAAAATGAAAACAGGGGAGGGGGTAAGAAAAAGAAGTGTCAGGCACTCACTAGCTGATTTTAAGTTAATTAGCTGTTTCAAACCTCAGTTTCTGCATCTGTAAAATGGGGACAATAATATCTCCCTCAGAGGTTTGTGTTAAAGTCCACATTAGTGGCAAAATACTGAAAAGCGTGGCCCCTAGTGTCAGATTGTCAGGGTTCAGATCTGAGCTCTATCACGTGCTAGGCTGCACAGGTTAATCTCTGGGTGCAGAAGCCTACCTGGTGGTTAAAACCTAGTGACATCGTGCAAATACTTAGAAAGGGGCGGGGAACACCCTAAGAGTAAAATAATACAAACTATCATAATATAAAGCATAGTTCTTGCTTTATATTATGCAAGATTTATTGAATGGCATACACTCAATAAATATTAGTTATGCCCCTGCCCTCCCCAGAATGATGTAATTCAATTCAGCAAATAACCTAAGAAAAGTATAAATTCTATTCGGTACTCCTTAGATGTGAAGAGAGGGGATTTAGAATAGATTATTAAAGATTTCCACTTAAAATTATTAAAATTAAAGATGTAATATTTGAATGTTAACTTAATTTCACAAATATGCACTTGAATAGAATTTTTAAATATTTATTTATTTATTTTGAGAAAGAGAGTGAGAGAGGGAGAGCATGAGCAAGGAGAGGGAAAGAGGCGGGGAGAGAGAATCCCAAGCAGGCTCCGAGCTGTCAGGACAGAGCCTGATGTGGAGCTCAATCCCAGGACACTGGGATCATGACCTGAGCCCAAATCAAGAGTCAGACGCTTAACCAACTGAGCCACCTAGGCACCCCACTTGACTAGAATATTTTTTTTACCACTCTGGGTAATAATGATGGTGTTATACTTAGTCCCTATTTTACTGAGAAAACATTTTATTTTTTTTAAGTTTATTTATTTATTTTGAGAGAGAGGGAGGGAGGGAGAGAGGGAGGGGCAGAGAATCCCAAGCAGGCACCACTGTCAGTGCAGAGCCCCATGCGGTCATTAGATCATGACCTGAGCCAAAACCACGAGTTGGATGTTTAACTGAGTCCCCCAGGCGCCCTGTGAAAACATTTAAAAATGTTTTTTAAATGTTTTTATTTATTTTTGAGATGGAGAGAGACAGAGCATGAGCAGGGGAGGGGCAGAGAGAGAAGGAAACACAGAATCTGAAGCAGGCTTCAGGCTCTGAGCTGTCAGCACAGAGCCCGACGCGGGGCTCGAACTCACGAGCCGTGAGATCGTGACCTGAGCTGAAGTCGGACGCTCAACTGACTGAGCCACCCTGGCACCCCTGAGAAAACAGTTTAAATTAGAATGTTTGGCTTCTTCACTTACAGAGGCTGTGGGATGAGCAGCGAGGGGAAAATCAAAAGTCTTTAACTGCGGAAGACGGGATTCTTAATTTTCATTTACTGATTTTCCTTTGTAACAAACACGGCCCACTATACACACCACGTCTTCCTGTGGACTACGTTTCACACCCGCCAGAGGACCTCAGTCTGTACACTTCTGCATTGTTTCTCCCACCCAGGTCCCTCGTGAAGGCAGGATCTGAACATGATGGTGTGCATAGAAACTGAAGCATTTTACAAGACTATACTTTCGAGAAGTCCCTAAAGATGTGCCGTGAATCTGGCTAACACCGAACTAGTAACCATATCGTTGTAACATCAGACTGGCTGCTGTATACATTAGACCAAAGAAAGGCAGGGACAAAAACATGATTTGGTAAGTATTCACAGATTTAGCCCTTCCATAACCTTCCGGGCCTTTTGCTATGTGCATCAGGAAACCGAAACTCCAGGGGCGCCTGGGTGGCTCAGTTGGTTGAGCATCTGACCTCAGCTCAGGTCACAATCTCGTGGTTTGTGAGTCCGAGCCCCGCGTCGGGCTCTGTGCTGACAGCTCAGAGCCTGAAGCCTGCTTCAGATTCTGTGTCTCCCTCTCTCTCTGCCCTTCCCCCACTTATGCTCTGTCTCTGAAATAAACATTAAAAAAAAATTTAAAAATACATAAATAAATAAAACATTAAAAAGAAAGAAAAGAAAAGAAAACTGAAGAAACTCCAGAATCAGAGGGACCTGAAGAAAAGCTGGTTACCCTACACCAGAGGCAGGGGTGGGGGTAGGGGGTGGAGAGGGGACCTGGAACCGCCTGCGGGCAGGCGTGTAGGACAGCGGCCCTTTCGTCCGTCTGGCTACTGAGCACTGCGCAGGTGGCTAGCCCAAACAAAAACAGGCTGTAAGTGTAAAACACAGATTTCAAAAACTGAGCACACACGCACAAAAAAATGTAAAATATCTCATCGATCATTTTTAAATTGACACATGTTGAAATGACAATATTTTAGACATATTGGGTTGACTAACAATTACTAAAATCAATTTCACCTGTTTCTCTTTTGCCTTTTGTTTCCTTGTGGCTACCAGAACATTTTAAATTATCAGCCCGATACTCCCTATTTCTGGAAACGGCTAGGAAGAGCCGTCATCACGAGTCAGACGTGAGGTACACAGAAAGAGAGAGAGAATCACCCTGCGCCGTGTCAGCAAGGTAATCGTTCTCCCTCGTGCCTCTCTGAGAAGCGTTAACCAGGTGTTTGTTTGTTTTTTAATCTTTTCATTTATTTTTTGAGTCTGTCCGCAGAGAGCCTGAGCGGGGCTCGAACTCACGAACCGTGAGATCATGACCTGAGCCAAAATCAAGAGTCAGATGCTTAGCCGACTGAGCCCCCCCAGGTGCCCCTGAACCAGGTTGCAACGAGCCCTCGGTCGCTGCCAGCCCCCACGACACAGGAAGGGCTGACTATTAGGTGGCGGGCCGGGCG